TTGCTTGCTTTTTTTTTTTTTTTTGAGACGGAGTTTTGCTCTTGTCGCCCAACTGGAGTGCAATGGCGCGATCTCAGCTCACTGCAACCTCCACCTCTCAGGTTCAAGTGATTCTCCTGCCTCAGACTCCCAAGTAGCATTGAGCACCTGGCCCAATGACTTTTTTTTTTTGGAAACAATGTCTTGCTCTAATCCTCATTAGAATCATTCCTAGAAGTGAAATTACTGAGTCATTCTTTTTAAAGTATCAGTCCAGGTTATCACGTGACTTTCCAGAAAGCCACACCTGCCACCATGCCCAGCTAATTTTTATATTTTTTAGTAGAGACACGGTTTCATCATGTTGGCCAGACTGGTCTCAAACTCCTGACCTCAGGTGATCCACCCGCCTTGGCCTCCCAAAGTGCTGGGATTACAGGTGCAAGCCACCGTGCCTGGCCACATGTCCATTATTAAATAATCATTGCTCATATTTATCTACTCTTTTTTGTTGTTGTTGTTTTGAGACAGGGTCAAGTGTAGTGGCATGGTCACAGCTCATTGGAGCCTCAACCTCCTGGGTTCAAGTGATTCTCCTGCCTCAGCCTCCCGAGTAGCTGGGACCACAGACATACACCACCACACCCAGATAATGTGTGATAAAAAAAAAATTTGTATTTTTTTGCAGAGACAGGGTTTTGCCATGTTGCCCAGGCTGGTATTGAACTCCTGGCCTCAAGCAATTTGCCCACCTCAGCCGCCCAAAGTGCTAGGATTGCAGGCATGAACCACCATGCCCAGCCTTACCTAGTTGTATAATAAACCAGGAACTCTCTGCTAAGCAGTTTACATAGATTATCACGTGTGATTCTCACAGCAACCCTCCAAGGTAGATCTCCTGGCTTCAAGTGACCTCCCCCCTCAGCGTCTCAAGTGCTGAGATTACAGGCGTGAGCCAGCACACCTGGCCCAATTTTTTTTTTTTTGGAAACAATGTCTTGCTCTGCCCAGGCTAAAGTGCAGTGGTGCAGTCACAGCTCACTGCAGCCTCAAGCTCCTGGGCTCAAACAGTCCTCTCACTCTTAGCCTCCTGAGTGGCTGGGACTACAGATGTGTGCTAACATGCTCGGAAGTCTAATTTTTTGTACAGACAGAGTCCCACCATGTTGCCTAGACTAGTCTCAAACTCGTGGGTTCAAGCAATCCTCCCACCTTAGCCTCCCAAAATGCTGGGGTTACAGCCCCAATGACCATTTTTAATGACTCCATAGTAGTCTCCAGTATGGACTTAGTGTGATGAACAGTTAAAGTTGTTGGACATTTAAGGTTTTTTCTTTTGCTATGATCATGAAGTAATGAGCATTTTTGCATAAAACATCTTTGTTCTTATCTCTTGTCATTTCTTTTTTTTTTTTTTTTTTTTTGAGACTGAGTTTCATTCTTGTTGCCCAGGCTGGAGTGCAATGGCATGATCTCAGCCCACCACAACCTCTGCCTCCCGAGTTCAAGCGATTATCCTGCCTCAGCCTCCCGAGTAGCTGGGATTACAGGCATGTGCCACCATGCCGGGCTAATTTTGTATCTTTAGTAGAGACGGGGTTTCTCCATGTTGGTTAGGCTGGTCTCGAACTCCTGACCTCAGGTGATCTGCCCGCCTCAGCCTCCCAAAGTGCTGGGATTACAGGCATGAACCACTGCGCCCGGCTTGTCATTTCATTAGAATCATTCCTATAAGTGAAATTACTGAGTCATTCTTTTTAAAGTATCATTATGGGTTATCAAGTGACTTTCCAGAAAGCCAGCACACAATCCCACCAGCACGTGGAAGAGAAGGCCCTGTTTAAAAACAATTCCGAGAGGAGCGCATGCATAGTATGTGTGGTTGGGGGAGTCATGTGGTCGTCAGAGTGGAAGCAGGAGTGAGAGGGTCCAGCAGAAGAAAACATGGCTGCCAAAGTGTTTGAGTCCATTGGCAAGTTTGGTCTGGCCTTAGCTGTTACAGGAGGCGTGGTGAACTCTGCCTCATATAATGTGGATGCTTGGCACAGAGCTGTCATCTTGGACCAGTTCCATGGAGTACAGGACATTGTGGTAGGGAAAGGGACTCACTTTCTCATCCCATGGATACAGAAACCAATTATCTTTGACTGCCGTTCTCGACCACGTCATGTGCCAGTCATCACTGGTAGCAAAGATTTACAGAATGTCAACTTCACACTGCGCATCCTCTTCCCGCCAGTCACTAGCCAGCTTCCTCGCATCTTCACCAGCATCGGAGAGGACTATGATGAGCGTGTGCTGCCGTCCATCACGACCGAGATCTTCAAGTCAGTGGTGGCTCGCTTTGATGCTGGAGAACTCATCACCCAGAGAGAGCTGGTCTCCAGGCAGGTGAGCGACGATCTTACAGAGTGAGCAGCCACCTTTGGGCTCATCCTGGATGACATGTCCTTGACACATCTACCTTCGGGAAGGAGTTCACAGAAGCGGTGGAAGCCAAACAGGTGGCTCAGCAGGAAGCAGAGAGGGCCAGATTTGTGGTGGAAAAGGCTGAGCAGCAGAAAAAGGCAGCCATCATCCTTGCTGAGGGCGACTCCAAGGCAGCTGAGCTGATTGCCAACTCACTGGC